ACACATCAATCAGAAATATAAAGCTACTAGCTTTATATTTATATTATTGTTGGAGCCACATGGACAATAATCTGTCCTGTTTTTCTCAGTTTCAAGCTTCAATGTAATCATTTTTAAAAACCACTTTATGCATTCATCCAACATAAAGAGCAAACTCACTATGGAATGATGCATCGATACATGGTGGTGTGGTGGCTCAGGTCAAGAACTAACCAATAATGCAATGATTCAATGTTGACTGTCCTTCTCCCACAAACATTTCAAAAAATCTACATATTGTTTCACTGTGCAGACAAAAACCAAAGGACTGATGGTGGCATAGCCATTGGACACCATGATCTGGACAGAATAGCACACAGGGTCATTGTTCCACATGGTTCTTGAGAAGGAGACAATGCAGTCCAAACAGTAAATGAGCACAAAAATTCCCATGAGCACCAGAATGACTCTGGTGGCCCTCCATTCTGGGGAGGCTTTTGGGGAGGCTGGTGACATGAAGGTACTGGCAATGCCTCTTATGCCTATGCAAGAGGGTCACCATGTACCTACTGGAGAGGGCCATGAGCCCTATAAGGAAGACACCCTGTAATGCACCCAGGATGGTAAACAAATGCCTGAAAAAGTAGCTCATGGGTAAGATAGTGCAGGAGTCAGTGAGGAATATAAGGCCCTGTGAGGTCACAGTGGAGTTGTGAAAAGCAGAGATGGAGAAGTGGGCACTGAAGGACATATATAAGACCCACAGGAAGAGAAGGGACCTTATGCTGTCTTGTGGAGACTTAGGCTTGAACTTTGCCAAGCAGGAGCTTCTGGGCATGTGGGTGATGGCCTGCAGGACACTCAGCAGGCAGGTGGAAGAAATGGACAGGCCCCTCATCAACCTGTACAAGTAGGCAACTGATTTACAAGTGAAATCACCCCAAAGCCCCACCTGAGATGTAAAAGTGTCTGCAGCTATGAACCCCATGGTGAGCAGCATCAGGAGGTGGGTTAGGGCCAAGAGACTGATGATCAAGTCCGTGTCCTTGAGTCTCTTTTCACACAGGAACTTGATGACTTGGAACAGAAAGAGGACGGTGTTGGCCAAGATCCCAATTCCAACTTCAGAGTAAAAGATGCTTCTTAAGTTAATAATGCCATGCACCATGTGATTTTTTTGTCATTTTTTGGGATAATGAATCATGGAGTACATGTTTTAGGGGAAAAGTAAGAAAATTCATTGTAACAAATATTAAATTGAATCACTCTCAGCCAACATTGTTGCCAGAAGCAAAATTTGTTGGCCTATTCTAATGCCCCCTTTTCCCTCTAACTGAAGTTTTGCTGACACACCCTGGAAACCATTCTTTCCTGTCGCGACCCCTTGCCCACAAGGAAGACGCGACTTGGGAATCTTCTTTCAGCAGTTTATTCAGGCCCTTGATATTTCTTCTAATAATCCCTCGGATGCCCCTCCCAGCCTTAATATAGCATCTCAAGCCCCAATGCGAAGCTGCCACGTGGAACTTTCTCA